TAGTCATTTAACAAATAAAGTATTAAAGAGTGAACAAGATAACAAATACAAAACATGTTAGTATCAAACATTAAAGTCCATATTAAGTTTACACTATACTTATTCTTACACTATTAGTGTAACCTTTTCACTTTGACATAATAAACTTAGCTAAACATAATAAAAGAAAGAAAAATAAATAAACAAAATAAGAATATAAATAAGATAAGAGTTAACTAAGTAAAGGAAAGGAAATGAAAGGCATAAACTTGATATTAATAAAAGCAAAGCATAAACATTATAAAAAATACAAAGAGAGAAAGCAAGAGCATGATCTTGAAACTAAGATGCTTAAATGCATGGCAAATGCCTCCTTTTATAGGCCAAGATTGGGAACTATTGATTTAATGACTAATTGATGAGTGGGTGACTAACTCTTGACTTGGTGACAATCCTTATCTTTTCTTGCCTGCCCAAAACATCATTGATAACATCAAAATTAGAGCCACTTGAAACATGAAAGTTGTAGAAAATTGTCTTAGCTTTCTTGTGTAAAAAATACAGGTCATTTGGACTTCTAGAACTCCAGATATGGGCCAAAAACTGAACAGTGCTTGGGCTAGAAGACAGATTCGGACCTCTTTGTTGTTGCTCCAATTTGAACTTGAAAATGATATTTTTAGATCTTGGGCTCTATATGAAAGTTGTAGGCCTATGTCTTACCTCTCCATCCATATAAAGTAGACCTAAATCTAAGATCTACATCTCCAGATATGACCTAATTACTGAACAATGTTCCGATTTGGATTGCACTAACATCTCTTTTCTAAGTTTGGCCATCTCTTTGTCCTTTTAATTTCAGTTCTTAACTTCATCAATCAATCCTTTTATTTATATGATAGGCCTATATTTAAAATGAACATTTACCATTAATTAAAAGTATCTTATATTATTAGATACGTTATTATGAAACATGCTTTAGTTAAGGAATTATTGATACTTCGAGTGCACAATGATGATATAAAACCTTGATAAAAATACACTTTTAAGTACTAATCACTAATTATTCAAGAATATTTCAACTAGTTTATTTCCTTACCTTTTATTCTTAGAAATATATACACCTATGTCCATTGATGTTTTTATATTACTATTGTTACCTTTACAAAATTTATCTAGAATTGTCTCAACAAAGTGAAATTGGTACAATACCAATTCATTAAGTTTCTTGGTAATTTTTTGTTCCTAATATGACATTTACAACACTTAAGTCTTTCGTGACAATCGTATTAGTTCATATTTCTTTAGTACACTTGATCATACAATTATTATAGCCCAAAATACGCATATCATTCACATAGAAACATACAATAACATAACATTTATATATGTTTTTTTATATAAATATATTTATCAACTTCATTGATTTTGAACTTATTTAATAACATGTCCTTCTTGAATTTTTCATGCCATTCTTTAGATGTCTTTTTCAAACCATATAATGATTTGACAAACTCACAAACTTTTAGTTATTATTCATTAACAACAAACCCTTTAAGTTGTTCCATGTAACTTTTTTTATTAAGGTTTCCATTTAAGAAAGTTGATCTTACATCTATTTGATGTATCTTAAGCTTGTTAAAAGAGGTAATGACAATCAACATTTGTATAAAAGTTATTCTTGACATAGATGAATATGAGTTAAAATACTCCACATCTTTTTATTGCTTGAATTATGAAACCATAAATCTTGTTTATATTTATTAATAGTTTCATCAGTTTTCATCTTCATTTTGAAGATCCACTTATAGTTTAATGACTTACTTCTAAGTGGAAGATTCACTATTTCTCATGTATGAATATTCATGATAAATTTTATTTCACTACTAACTGTGATACATTTCAACTTGTGATAAGATCTAAGAAATGTTAGATTCAAATTTTAGCATAAATTTTCTACCATCCAATTTTATGCTATTGAATATAATGTCAAATCCAATTGTTGGATCGAACTGAAACTTTAAGATTCTAGAGGTATTTTTTTATATTTAGGATAAAGTTTTAAATGAATAGGAGTTCGGAAAGGACTTGTGATATATGTCAGAATAGGCTTTATGAATTTTATTATTTACTTTTTTTTTTGACAAGTGGACTTTTTATTTGGCAAAGATCATTTTTCAAAAAGGATTTGACAACTTGTTTTGGGAATTTTCTAGTTCCATAAGAACCTTTAATGAGCTAAAATATAATTTTCAAGAGTGACAACGATTCATAAACGTTCTATAATCATTTTCTTATAAGGATTTCTTATTCATCCTAACTACACAAGGAAATAAGGTTGGTGTTATTTAATGACAAATTAGTTATTTTTATTATTTTTTTCATGTTTAGGCTTAATTTAAACTTTTTTTTAAGCTAGAATCCAAGACTTGTATGGATCATGTTATGAGTTTTTCAATTTAGGGTTTTTTAGTTAGTTTTGTATGTGGGTCAGTTCAGTACACAATGGTAGATCCATTAAGGTTAATTTTTAAGAACTATTTAAACATATGTAACCTAGATTTATGTAGTCATTAATGAATATTATATTTAAATTTTTTAGTTTTAATATGTGAGAGTGATTCTTGCATTCTTTAGTTCTTGAATGAATTGAATTTGACTTATCAAAGATTAACTGACTTCGTAACATCATTCTACTTCATTTCAATAGTGTTGGTGCCTTGGGGTAGGTTTACATTATATTACACTCCTATAAGATCTTTTTTGACTTTTCGAGATCAGATCTCAATCTTAATTGTGGGTTGTGTGATAACAAGGTTCACATCAAACTGCGCTTTTCCAATAGAAAGTTTCCAAACATGACATTTCTCTAGAGTAAGTTTGAGGTTCATTTTCTAAGAAGTATGTTAGAAAATGATAACCAAATATTTTGATTATTTTTGTCCTTTAACTCCTTATAAGCTCAACTTCATCATCTTTCGATTAACAATGACTATTTAAGCTAGCCTCAATCATTTTTTTAAGTAAATTATTTTCATGTGTTTTTTAAATGAAAACACATTTTCAAAGAATATAATATTCTTTGATTCTATAATAGTATTAAAATGAATATTCTCAATACTTAACTTGTGTATAAGAAATTGATATGCACTAATATTGTAAAACATATTCAATAAAAACAAAATCCATAGTTTTAGGTCTCATCTTGATATTTTTGAGATAGGTACTACCATATTTGCAAGGCACCCCTAGAAATTGACGTATTTATTGGAAGGTCATCTAGCTTTTTACAAACATGTTTGAGTGTGTGATTACTTTCCAAAGTGTTTTTCATTCCAAAATGCATCAAAATGATATTTTTTTTTATTTTTTAAAAATTATTTTTGATATCAGTGTATCAAAAAAATCCAAAACATAAAAAAAATAATTTTTAACAAAAAGTTTTTTTTTTGAATTTTTTAGAAACACAAGTTGCCCGTGTTTCCAAATACTCTCTTAATGTCTTCTCTAGCTTTTTACAGGATTGTTAAGCATATAATTAACAATTAAAATTACCCCTACAAGTTCTAAGATACCCTTGAACTTATCAACATAATATTTATCATTTCTTTTAGTGTTTAGTTTTTACATTCCGCAATGTCATTTTGTCGAAGTAAATAAAAAGTAGTAATTTTATAGATATTATTATTTTGCAAATATAATTCACCAAAAAAGTATTTTATATTCTTCATCTCTTTCACTTTTTATTGTCATTATTTTCTTATCAAGTTAATTTTTAATTTTATAATATTTAAATATTTCAAGAGTTTTATCTTTATTCTTAAAAAAATATATACCAATATTTTGAGCAATCATATATATAAAAATAATATAATATATTGTTCCATCTCTAAGGATATAATATACAAATTTTAAATCAACAATATCTAAGGATATCAAGCCTAAAAGAAATATTGTCACACCCAATTTTAGTTCAGTTGGGTAGTTTTATTTTGTGTAACTAGGTTAATAAAAAATATCGTTGTTCTAGTTTTTTTTTTTTCTTTTAAAAAAATTAAATGAGGTTTTTACTGGGTCAGCACTACGATGATTCACTAGACTTTCCCCACAGCAGCGCGCCGGCTGACCAGTAAAGTACTATTTTTAGTCTTCAGGAACTCTGGAGTTATAAGATTTTTAGTTTCCATTATATGGTTTTCTTCTGCCCGCCTTGCACGGTGTTGACTGCCTCCAGCTTCTAAGGACCACCAACTAAATATTGCTGCAAACGTCAAAAGTTGGAATGATCAAGCGGTTGAGTTTGACATGCCATGTGAAAGATATGGGTTATGGTAACCTTTTGGCTGAGTCATTGACCGCTTATCTCTGGTGTACGAGCTTGCTGACTCTTCATGATTTGGCATGTCTGTGAGGTGAATTATCCCGAGTCATCATGTAGTACCAGGATGTAATATCTCTGCTATAGAATTGAGTTAAAATGTTGTTTCTCTATGGTTTTCTGGCCTACTGATTCTGTTTTCTCAGTAACAATGGTTTCTATTGTTTTATGGTGTCTTCCATTTGTTCTTTCCTTTCTTGGTTCTTTAGCGCAACCCCAGATAACCACTAACACAATAAACTTGGGTGCCAGCATCACTGCTGGGACTAATTCTTCGTGGCGATCACCCTCTGGTGATTTTGCTTTTGGGTTCTATCCTCTTCTTAATGACCTGTTCCTTGTTGGAATCTGGTTTGACAAAATCCCAGAAAGAACACTAGTTTGGTCAGCGAACCGTGATGATCCAGCTAGAACTGGATCAACCATCAATTTCACACTCGATGGCCAGCTTGTTCTTACACACTCAAATGGAACTGGATACTTAATATCCAATGGAACTTTCGGTGCTAGTTCTGCTCTGATGCAAAATGATGGCAATTTTGTTGTAAAAACCAATTCTTCCGAAGTTATCTGGCAAAGCTTTGATTCTCCAACAAACACCATTTTATTAGGCCAGGTCCTAGTAATGGGCAAAAAACTCTACTCTAATGCAAATGGAACAGTCGACTACTCGACTGGGCAGTACATGTTAGAGCTTCAAATGGATGGTAATGTTGTTATGTCTGCATACAAGTTCGCTGATCCTGGTTACTGGTTCACTTTGACAGCAGGAAACCAAAATGTGAGCCTGATTTTCAACCAGAGTACAGCTTTTATGTATGTTGTGAATCACACTTCAATTAGGTATCATATGACAAGTCAAGTTCCCACTCCGATTGGAGATTACTATCACCGAGCAACGATCAATGACCATGGAAATCTTCAACAGTTTGTTTACCACAAAGAAAATGGAAGCGGGTGGACCGTTGTGTGGGAGCCAGAGAGTATTAAAGCTGAACCTTGCATACCGTTTAATATCTGTGGAGTTTATGGCTTCTGCACTTCGATTGATAACACAACAATCAACTGTGATTGTTTGCCTGGCTACTCACCATGGGATCCAAGCATTCCCTCAAAAGGATGCTATCCTGATACGGTGATAGATTTCTGTGCTCCAAATTCTTCGGCTTCAAATTTCACTCTTGAAGAGATAGATAATGCTGATTTTCCAAACGGTGAATTTGCAGATATGGCCAGAGTCACACCAGCCGACGTAGAAGAATGCAGGAAGGTGATAATGGATGACTGTTTTGCTGTGGCTGGCGTCTTGGTCGAGTCTGTGTGTTACAAGAAGAGAACTCCCTTGCTTAATGCTAGAAGGAGCATCCCTTCTACTAATGATATAGTGGCGTTTATAAAAATTCCCAACGCAAACAACAATCAAATTCAAGACAAAGATGATGATTCTCCTTCTTGGATTGCTCTTCTAGCAGGCTTATTATTATGTTCAATAATGACGTTACTCTTTGCCACCATTGCCATTTATCATCACCCTCTTGCTCAGTCTTACATTAGTCAAAAGCAGCTCCCAGTGCCAAAGCCTGTAGAGATCAATTTGAAGGCATTTTCATTCCAGGAATTGCTTCAAGCAACGAATGGTTTAAGGAACAAACTTGGGAGAGGTGCTTTCGGAACTGTCTATAGTGGGGTGTTAACCTTGGAGGATGAAGAGGTTGAGATTGCTGTCAAGAAGCTTGAAAAGGTCATTGAACAAGGTGAGAAGGAATTCTTAACAGAAGTCCAAGTAATTGGACTAACTCACCACAAGAATCTTGTAAGGCTGGTGGGTTTTTGTAATGAGAAAAATCACCGGCTTTTAGTTTACGAGCTAATGAAGAATGGTACGTTATCGGATTTTCTGTTTGGAGAGGAGAGGAGGCCCAGTTGGGATCAAAGGGCTGAAACTGTGTATGGAATTGCAAGAGGTTTGTTGTACTTGCATGAAGAGTGTGAGACGCAGATCATTCATTGTGACATAAAGCCGCAAAATGTTCTTCTTGACAAAAATTACACGGCCAAGATAGCTGATTTTGGCCTAGCGAAGCTCCTGAATAAAGACCAGACTCGAACGAGCACCAAAGTTAGAGGAACAATGGGATACATGGCACCTGAATGGCTAAAAAATGCTCCTGTGACTACCAAAGTTGATGTTTACAGCTTTGGGGTCGTGTTGCTGGAGATTATTTTTTGTAGAAAGCACATAGAGTTGCATGAAGTTAATGAATCAACAGAGGGTAACGAGCTGATTCTAATTGATTGGGTTCTATGCAATGTGAGAGCTGGTAATTTACACTCCATTGTCAGCCATGATTTTGAAGTCCTGAAAGATTTTTGCAGGTTTGAAAGAATGGTCTTGGTGGGTTTATGGTGCATATGTCCCAACCCAAGTCTTCGACCATCAATGAACAAGGTTACGCAAATGCTGGAAGGAACTAGTGAAGTTGATGTTCCCCCTTTGATCGATGCACTGATTTTTTAAACAAGATTACCGTTATGTCTGTTTCATGATTTCGGTATTTTATTGAAATTATAAGGTGGCGCAATCCACACCATGCTTTGTTTTTTATTGGTTTTGGAAGCTTGTTTAAGATCATAATAGCTTGGAGCCCTTAGCTCAGTGATTCCATTATTCGGAAGGCAACTAGTTTCCTTCCACTATCTGGTTGAGGCAACTAGCCTTCTTGGTTTTCCTTCCTTTAGCTCAGCTGCTGTGTTATTTCGCAGTTTCTCTTTTGAGCTTTGTATGGTGATGGCTTTGTTCTCTCTATGAGGAGGTAGTTTGTTGGGATCAATTATGCCTCTCAATTTCTTTCTTTGATGGATGGATCTTGTGCTGTATTTTTGCAAGGTTAGCTAGTTTAGACTTGGGTTTGCTACTTCCATCTCCTTGCTGGAGGTTCTATCTTGGTCATGCTGTGTAACCTGCGTTATTTCTGCTGTAATCCTTATCTTTCTTCATTAAATTTATTTACGATCCTATTAATAAAAATAAAAAAGAAGAATAAAGAAAAAGAAATAGCCTTCTTGTGAGCCTTCACTACCTAAATTGTTGAAACAAAAATTCCAGTCCAATAATCTCTTGTGATTTGATCTACGATCCATTGCGTAAACTTTGGTTCGCACGTCAACATGATAGAACAAGTCCAGGTAATAATTTTCCTCAAACAGGGGATTACACAGCTACGGTCATGCCAAAGTAGGGTTCCAGGAGAGAATTTCTTCTTCTAACAAGTCAGTCATAACAAAATTTCGTTAACAATTTTATTACTTGCACTGGCTTTATGTAAAACAGGCGATTACGCAACTAAAGTTCCTATTCTTCAACTTGCTGTCTAATCCCACCAAAAAAAATCCCAGAAGTCAATTATGAAACCTGTGCGTTTGGTGGAATCTAGGGTGCGTTTGGTGTTCTTGCAGGGCTCAATAGAAAACACGGTATGCAATAAAGGAAAAGTCTTCTTGTGATCCTTGACTAAGTATTCATGAAAGGAAAATTCCAGAAAACTTATGGTAGAATGCCGA